TGGCATGACTAGGAGGCAGCGGTGGAGGCGCGATCATTACAGTAGGAATGTCGAGTGATTAGTGTGGGGAGTTATAGTAGAAACATCAAGGATCATGGCTCTGATACCAGATGATAAGACCCTTAGGGTTTTACCTTAGAAGAAGGGGAAGAAAGGGATAAGATCATTTCAAGAGGATCGACCTCCTTGATCTCTTTGAGGGGAACGACCTCCTAGGGTTTGCCAAAGGCTACAAAGTATTTCCTTGATAACGAAAAAAAGCAGATACATCCATATTTATAGAGTTTCACCCCTTAGTCCACTAGGACTTGGACTCCTAATCAAAATAACAAATCTCAACTAGACCCTTAGTCGACTAGATGGCCTAGCCAACTCTTACTGGAACTACAGAACTCAAGAGAATATGTTCTTTATATTAGTTTAAGACTCAGAGAATTCAGGGGATCCTAACAAAATTTTATAAGAAAGAACTCAACTACATTTATGTATAATGTTCTTGAGCTTATAGCTTTGTCATGCATATTAATGATATAATCTTGAATTTATCAAATATGGTCATACTAAATCTTAGTTAGTTCTTTCATTAATATATCAACCAATGACTTGTTAACAAATTTAAATTAAACTTTAAATATTCCATGGTGCTAGTTGTAGACTATAATAAAGTCTAAATATTATTAGTAATTATCATAAAACTAAGTCTTTAGATATTTTTTGATCATTTATCTCAATTATTTATTTCATAGGATTTCAATAGTTATGTCTATGATCCTTTCAACGAGTTTGAATAAGGTCTGACACACTCAGTGTAAATTGCATATGTTCAAGCTATTTATAATAATCTAATCTAAAAAATAATATAGTGTTATTTATAAGAATGCAACGGTGAAGGTAACACTGTAACAAAATAATATAATATCGATTTTTTTTATTTTTTTTAATAAATATTAAACTATTGATATCATCTCTATTTCACCCAAAGGTGATATATTAATATCTTTAGTATTCATATAAAATTATTTATGAAGGAATGATATCATTCTTGTAGAATAGCATTACTACATTTGAATATACAACCTTGAGCTATAACGATATTCAAAATAATATCATTTTATCGCGTCATATAATTATTTGAAGCAAATACTCATTTAAGATTATATAAATCTTCTAAGTATGTATCATTATAAATATTATCTTTCTAATATCATTTAGAACTATTTTTAATATAATTTTATAAGTTATTGGTTTAGGCCACTTTAATGGCTACAACACTAATATAATAAAATATAATTTAAAATATTTTATAAATGATAAAATATTTATTATAATTTATATCCTATAAGTTTATCATCTAATGCTACTTTAGCAACTACTAATTAGATAAAACTAAGGGATATGAGTTACAAATAATATTCTTAAATTTTTTACCTAATTTATATTGAAACAATTCAATAATAATATTAATCATAATGATTATTGAATATTAATCAACATAAAAAAAACTCAAATGATAACTGAAATCATGATAAATTATAAATCATATATTTTATGTGAAAAATATATATTATTTCATAGTTTCAAATATATGCATGTGAATAATCAAACAAATATCCAAGAATAATAATTATATTTTTAATTATCACATGTAAAATTTTATTAATATGTCATATAAGAAAACTATTAAAAAATCATGATTTATATTTATTTTAAAACTACACATGAGACCCTTAAACTAGTCAACCCTATTTAATTAGATAGGCCCAGAATTGGATTATCCAAATTGGGATAAAAAATTTAGACCAATCATTCGTCCAATTAAGTCTATCAAAATTAAAATTGATCAAAGTAATTAAAATTTAACTTTTCCCCAATTTGATCAAAACTTCAATTGCGTATTCTCTTTCTGCTATTTTTTCTTTCAACTCGAAGCAACAAAACAAAGAAAGAGACCCTTTCTCATTCAGTGACTAGCGACCTCACTAGTCACCGCAACCTACCGCTATGTTACTCACTAATGGAACACCTCCATGGTACACCGTTGAGTGAGCGTTGATGATGGATCATCTCACCATGCGACCATGCACAAACACCAACCAGCGACCCCTACGGTCATCGTGGTGTGCGATTGTGCCCATGCGTCCACTATGCAATTGTTGGGAATCGTGGCTTTGGCATCTAATTGACATCGATCGCGACTAGCAAATGCTGTAATGGTGTTGTCGAAGTTGTCGCAGGCAATGACATTGTTGCAGCCACCATAAGCAACAACACTAATATAGTTGCTACACGAAGCAGAGCTGTTGCAACTGCCATAGGCGGCGACACTTCTACAACCGTCACATGCAACAACTCTACTACAATCGATACACATAGCAACGCTGCTGCAATCGATGCACATAGCAACGTTGCTGCAGTCACCGTAGGCAACAGCGATGCTACTGCAACCGTTGCATGAAGTGGAATTATTATAGCCACTTGCGACCAAGGTAGGTCGGCCACTACAAGGCTGCCGCACCCCATGATTTTTCTGTTGCATACATAGTCATTACCCGCAATTGGGCTGACAACCATCGACAAGGTCGTCGCCCTCAATAATACAATTATCAATAATAAGCTATCAATAATGATTCATAGATTATATATATGAGGAACCTCGTATTGCCTACAAGCAGGTGATAGGATGGATTAGATTGAAAAGCATATCAACAACACAAACAAATCATTTAAGTATCGTAAATCAAAATTGAATAACACCTTTTCACAAGTGAATGATGCTAATAAATAGATTTAAATATAAAATATATTTAAAATATTTTTATGATCTAAAGTATTTGATTTCAAAATATGGCTCTAATACTAATTGTAAGCATAAAAACTGTAATATATTATTATTATACAAAAGATTTTAATGCCAAAAATTAAAATTCAATAATAATATATTAAATATATGATGAATACCTTTCGATACTACTTAGAAAGTGTTTATCTGATATGTAGGCACACTATCATCGGATTTGAAAGCCATAGTGATGTTGGTTTACAAGAATAGTTGGACTCATCTTTTCATCTTTTTCTATTATGAACCATTATGAGTGTTGGATTGTGGACAAATGAAAAATGAGAGATGATTTATAATCTCTTAATAACTAGTTGTTTTATCATCCTATTCTTTTATAGGTAAGAATAAAGAGTCTAAGGTAAATAATTAGAAAAGTCACTCCCATTAAAATTATCTCCTAAGAAATTCTACTATAATTAAATTTTTTTTTTATTAACCGATAACCATAATCAAAATTCAATCATCTCTATAATATATCTTATCTAATTTGATAAGATCACATAATAATATCATATATAATTAACATATAGATAGTAGAGATAATCTGCATAGACTCAGATAGCATAAGAGTCATTGGCATAGTAGGATGAATATCACGGACAACTGATAAAAGAACGTCTTTCGCCTTTAACTTAGTTGACACAGAAGTCGCTGGCATGGAAAGACCATTATCATGTGTGGCTAGCATAGAAGTAGTGGAAAGGATCTCCGTTGACACAGGTGAGATAGTAGTAAGAGTCATCTGCTGCTTCGAGACCTATTTAGTTGTGTGTTTACTTTAGTTCTTGGTGGCAAGTTCAAGAATATAACAATGTGAACATCGGCTTGCAATCGTACTCCAGCCTTACAGCATACTTTTTAACATTATTGAGAAAAATACTTGTTTACATCCAATGCGCTCCATTAGTGAGCTGATCCATAAATAAAAACTTTTCAATACAATGATAACATTAAGAAACTTAGGAGTTCACATCTAAAGAGCTATGTTGAAGATTTTAACTAATAGTATAATAAAAAGTATAATTAATTAATTTTTTAATTAATTAATTATACTTTTTAGTCGATACAGGCGTCGACGAGGAAGATCCTCTTCTAGTCGAAAAAGTGTTCAATCACTCGAGTGCTACTGAGAAGACAAAGAAATATATTTTTTTGTGTTAAAAGGTTTTTTAAATAGTGAGCGATCTTAAGTTAATTCGGTGCCCTTTCAGCGTTTAAAGACTTGATGAGATATCCAAAGATCACATTTAAAGCATTTTTAGTAAAATAAAGTATCATGAATAATATTAAGGACGGTAAAGATTGATCTCTAAAATGTTATGAAACCCATATTTTATTTGAATAAAACAAAGAAATTGCATGTGACGACGCTAATGGCCAGAGAAAAGATCGATCAATCTCAAGAATGATCTAGTCGAGTTTTAAAATATCATGGATAGTATATTGTTTGATCACTGTTAACAATATATTATGCGTGATCATGGTCTATCTTTTATTTATCATGGATGACAAACATCGTGAACGGCAGAGATCGCATCCAAATAGCACATACAACCACGATCAACTTTCGAGAAGATTCAAGCACCAAATCAACCTAAAAGATATCATCAACATGGTCGAGGCGTCCCCACCAATTTATCATGTCCTCTGTGGAACGTCAGTATCTCCTCTGGCTTTCCATGTTCCCGATAACCATAAGCAACATATGCATCCAATAATGCCAGATGTTGTGACGACAGGCTGCATTAAGTTTTGCTACACCTACGTATAAAATGTGCATCAATATTTTTATGGGTTAGTGTTAACATGGGGTTAGAACAAGAGACTCACATCATTGTCAACATATTAACTATCTATAATGTTTACCTTTGTGTATGCGATTTAATTAGTAAAGGCACGTACGCGCAATTTGTTGAAGCGAGAAAGACCGATCATCTAATCGCGAAACTTCTTAAATCTTGATTGGAAGCAGAGAAGTCGACTGCTGTTAGGGCCTCCATGGGCTTCTTCACCGTCGCTGTTAAACGGGCATGGCGTGGCGTGGCGTGGCGTGGATAAGTATCATCACCTTTCTTTTCTTTCAAGGGCGTTTAGGAAATGACTACAGCGCGTAAAGATTGCGCGTGGATACCAGGGTATATTCCGGAACATCAAAAACGCCTCTTTCCCTGTTCGAGTACGATCCCCACATCGTCTCTCCACTCTCAGCCTCATCCTCATCCTCATCCTGCTCCGCCCTTTTCCCCTTGTTCTCTCTCGCTTGACTGGGTGGCCGGCATTTAGCTTCTACCTTCTTCGTTCCATTATTTGAAAGAATGGATCGCGTGTCCACTCAATGTCTTGGTGAAAGAAAAAAGGGTTTAGTTCCTTTCCTCTTAATTGTCCTTCCCTCGTAGCAGAAAAGAGGCAAGAAAAACCAAGAAAATAATTCGGGGATATTTAATGGTGGTAAAGCGCGAGCGCGATGCTACATCATCATCATCACTAGCCTCCTCATCAGCAGTGGTATATTACAGGGGGACGGATATGGATAGTTCTGCAGCAGTTTTTGCCCTATCTTCTACTTATCCGTCCTTTCCCAGCGAAATGGCGCCAGGTGAGGCACGACGCTCCTGCAGTTGCTCTAGAGGCGCCTCCCGCTCACCCTCCTTCGAGAAGGGGATGTCCGACGCATGAGCACCACTGCCTCACTCTCTCCTTTTCGTTGTCAACGTTGTTTTCTCCCACCGTTGGCCCTCGAACCGCGGTCCTGGATCCGATCGTTTCATCCATCCATGGCGTCGCTCCTCTCTGCTACGCGCTCCCAGCCTCTCTGCTTCCTTGGGTGTCAGGGTGACGGCTTGTTTCCGTCTTCTTTCAGGTGCACACCATCTCTGTTCCTTCTCAAACACTCATTCTTGCTTTGCTGTTGTCTGGTTTCTTTTGAGGATAAATAAAAATTATGGTGTAAAAAGTGAGCGAGCGTCAGATAGGAGTTGCAAGAAGAGATTAGAGTGTCGGTTGTAAAAAGGATGGAGATAGACGTAGAGATAGAGATAGAGATGGCAAGAGATAAAGATAGAGAGTCGGTTATGCTGCTACCCCACCCACCGTTTCTTCTTGCGATCAGGTTTGGGTTTGATCGCCGATTCGGGAATGGGAAAAAGACGAGGCACGTGGGGAGTCCTCCCCCGTCCGTGGCTTCGCCCACCATGTGCGGTCAGAAGAGGGATCACCTGTCCGATCCCAACCTCAAGGTCTGTTACCCTTCACCACCGCCTTCACCTCTGTTATGAATGGCAGCAGCTTTGTTACTCTCGATGGAGTGATCCTAATGCAGAGATGCCAACCCTACCCTTCTGTTATCTTGATTTTCTTTTTTTTTTTCCCTGTTTTCTTGTTGGTGTTCTGTTTGCTGTTTCTTTTTCCTCTCTAATTATTATTACTAATGGAGTCTTTTTGTTTCTCCCTTTCTTGGCATCACGGGGTTGGATAATAAAATCATGAATGCAGATTCTCAGGCTTGCCCGAGAGAAGTTCACCCAGGAGATATCCTTTAGATCTGAGGATAAAGATCTTTCACTAGCCAAGGTAATGTGATGTAGCTGATACTAGCATGTTCTTCTGGTAGTATAATCTGCTTTGGCAGTTTAGTGTTAAACTAATTACTTATTTCTTCTTCATTATCTTTCCAAGGAGGATTCATGTGGATGAAGTTGTATTTGTAGCAATACCTTTTATATAAACAATAATTAGTGTGACGTTTCTTTTTGTGCCCTTAGTCACAATCTTACGCTTGCAGTACACTACTGTGGAACACCTCATCAATCACTAAGGTTTCTTATATTTTCTGTTTGTCCATCATTACATTTGGCACATGAGCCATATCTTTGGAAAAGTAATGACCCGGAAGCATCATAGACACCTCTAGTTTGATTTTTAACATCATAATTTGATTTCTTTTTTCATTGCAATCCTTAGAAAGTAGGATGGCTTTTTAGAGAATGGTGTTTGAAAGATTGGTACTTGATTCAATTGGTTCTATTTTGTATCTTCTATGCTGCCCAATACTTTTCTGGAAGTATCCTCAATTTCATGGAAATGGAGTGTATAATGGTGTACAACTATTATTGCCTCTTTATCATCACATATGTAATGTGTAATCACACATAGACACTAAGGTACGGTAGCATGTCTTGCTAGTGACTACCATTTTCATATTCACTGATGGAGAGGGCATCTGTACCACCTGGAATCATATTTTTCTCTTCTTAAACAAGTGTCTACTTCATAATATGTGAACTTTATCTATTTAAGTATGAACTTCATTTTTTTCCTTAATTTTTCGATGTGGTTGTATTTTCTGCAATGGTGATTGAACTTGTCGCTTCACCTTGTGAACCCATGTTTACATGACATAACAAGGGTGTAGGCATGAGTCAAACTCAGCTAGTCACTGTCACACTTGGTAGGACCTGTTTGGTCTAGGTTTCCAGCTGTTGTGTTGATAAAGAAGATGTCAGCACCAGTACCAGCAAGCTGCTACCGACCATTATCCCTTTGAAGCTAGATAATAACAAGAAAAAGAAGAGAAGAATGAAGAATGTACCTGGGACATTGCCCACAACCCATTGTTCCTGCTGAGAGAAGGCCTTTGAATCATGTGATATTGAGTACCATGAAACACATCAGGAATCCAGCAGCACGAGCAAGTTCAAATGGCATCTTAAACTATAGTTTCCCACATCTGATGATCTGAAGCATCAACTTGTCAAAGTGTGCAACATAGGTCTCTAAGTTATAGCTATAGTCATTTATTCTTTTATGTTTGGGTAACTGAACAAGCATTTAATCACCATACTCTGAGAAATACATCACTCAGTCTGTCATACCATAAGGCATCAGGAAACAATTTGTCACCACAGCTCACCAAACAAAACTGAGAATTATAATCAACCTTCCGAAGCATATATCTTATTTCCTAGTCGCATCTTATAAAACAAAGACAATCTCATCTCCCAGTCACATCTCACAAAACTAAAACAAAGAAACTGTAATAAAGAATCTCACAATGTCGTGGGAATACCTACTTTGCAAGTCTCAACAGCTGATCACTTTACTGCAAAGCTCAGTCCAACTATTCTAGTACTGCTGAAAACTTGTTGCACATCTGTAAATTGACTTTTGAATATTCCCCTTTAGCTACACATCAACTGATAAATCTGACCTTTTTGGTTTTGTAACTAGGTTACTTTATTGTAATGTACATTAATTTAGACTATCTACTAAGGATTGTGCTCCCTTTGAGTCTACTTTTGTGTTTATTACCTGTGCTGCAATCTACCTACCTGTGTTGGCATTTGACATGTCTTGCTCTGTCAGCCTAGCACAGTGCAAAATGCAGCCAGTTGCTGCATTATTTCTTAATCAGTATCATTTGCATAATCAAGATAAAAGGAAGTGCATGCAACATCTTTTTTATTTACTATAAATAATTATCTTCTTTGCCTGTTGTACCAACTCTGATTAGGACATGCAAGGTGTTATCATTGTTTAATGATTTACTGTAAACTTTGTTGTAGGCATTGTTACTTGTTGCTGCTGAAGATGAAGCTTTCCTGTCTTTCAATCGAGACATGGATGCTTGTTCATTGCTAAGTGAAAGGAAAGGTGCAACTGGTCAATTCAAGGCTCTTTCAGAAGTTACTGATGTGGAAGATATTTCTTTAGCAGGCAAGACCATATCTGGGTGGCTGAAAGAGTTGGATGTGATAGCAGCAGAAGTCAAAGCAGAGTTGATCTCAAGGGAAATAGGTTGTCATTTATTGGAAGTGTTGGAGGCTGTAAACGTTGTTCTTTTTGATTCAAGAGGTTTTAGAAGATTTCCTGTTCTTGTGGATTCAAAGTTTTCATACTTGCACACAGTGCTTAGCTATGGATGTGGCAGTGGTAAGTCATCTTTTCTGGCTTTACACTGCAACATTAGCAATTTTTCATAATAACCAAATGTTTCTTCTGCTTATACTTCTCTCTGGAATGTTCTTTTGTCAACAGCCATAATGTTCAGCATCATATATATTGAAGTATGTCGAAGGCTTGGTGTTACTGTTGTGGGTTCTCGGGTTGGGGAAGATTTCTTGATTTGGCCGCAATCAGGGAATCTAGTGGTGTGTTCTTCTTTGGTTTTTTTCCTCCTGTTCTTATATATTTGCACACAACTGTTATACTTGTAATACAGAAACATGTGTCTCTTATTTGTTCCAGCTGTTTGTTTCCCATTGGATCATCTCCACATTTTTTATGGTTAACATGTTTATCAGTCGGTTTTGTATCTAACTCCATTTATTATGCCTGCTAGCTCTTCCTAATCTATTTTTCCTTAAACATACTATATGGAGTTTTTCCTTCTTGAGTACTTTTTCGACCAGCCACCAAATGTCACAAGTCTTTGTTGCCTGATTATGACAAGTTAAAGTGGATCAAACCTTCTTGAGAGTATTCTGTTGTTTCCTAAAATTCAACTGTATCATTGTCTAAAGCCACAAGGATCATGTCATTCAAGTAATAGTTCTTTTTTTAATGTTTTATTATGTCAAAGCTAAGTTTTTTCCTTGCTACCACAGGAACTGTTCAGGTCTGCTTCAGGACATAGCCTGTTTGCTACAATAAATGGCAGATGCGTCAAGGATCCTAGATCAAAGGCTTCTGAGTTGGATAGTGGTTCACTTTTAAGGCTTGATATAGCTACAAACAGAGACATCATTGGAATTGCTCTAGCTAATCTGATTGTATGTGATGACAAACATAGCAGATTCCACTTATGTTTTGTGACGCTGGACGTTTTGCCTAGTTAATTTATCACGACTCGACTACATGACCCTAGCCTTTTCTATTCATTTGCAGAGACTTCACTGGAAACGGGCTTCGAAGGCAAATCATGGCTTGATGTTAACTTCTCCACTTAGGCCAGTTCATCCTGGAAAAGACAAGGCTAACATGGGGGAGACGTCACTTCCACTGTTGCGGCCCCAAGAACTCAGGTATTTTTATGTTTTAAATACAACATTTAATCTTAAGTGATCTTTTGCAATCATCAGGCTTTTCAATATCAAAATCAATGTTCTCTTGTCATCAAGGTTGTTTAAAATTTATAATTATCTTAGAGCATATTCACATAGATTGTTGGATTCACAAACACAACAGTTAACTCGAATGAATGTGTTTCCCAGTATTCTATCTCAAAAGTGGCAAATGATACCTATATAGTTGGAACTTTATGGCTTTGCTGTTGTTGTTGTGTTTCTCAGTATTCTGTACAAAGAAGAAGAAAAGATAGGGGAACATTGGAAAAAAAAAAACCATTATTATTAAAATTATAGTAACATCATTGAGTAATTGAAGAACAAGAGTCCTATGTTATGGTGTCATTATGCATTATAATAGCTATGGGATAGTCTAATCTTGACCAATATTTAGTATTATAAGTTATTTAATAGCCATTTTTTTAAAATAATGCTAAATACAAGTCAATAAAATGGTAAATATGCTTAAGTATTAAAATCTTGATCCATACCAGTATGATCAAAGGTTGGACCAGTGTTGTACAAATACAATATATCGACACTTGGTACGAGATTATTTTGTCTGAAACACAGAGAGAAGAGGGGATGAGGAGGCAATGGTGGAGGTGGCGATGTGTCCCGGTTGAAGAGGGGGGACGACAATGTAGACAAGGAGGCAAAGGTGGAGGAGGAGGTGGCTGAAGAAGAGAAGAACAAGAGGTATAGAAGTAAGAAAGAAGGCAGCTACTTACAACTTACAGAAACAGAAAAAGGAAAAAACTCCTGTTTCGATACTGTGTGGTTGGCATATCTCCTGATACGATTAGTTTACTAGACAATGATCTTAGTTTACCATTGGATTAGGTGAAATTGTCCAGTCCACATGCTGAATTGACCATCAAACCAGTAAATACAGTCTATACGGCTATTATGGCCAAAACTTTAATCCTTGAAAATACTAGTCATTGAAATGTAGCTGACAAGATTCTTTAAGGTGTGCATTGAGAGCTAACCAGAGATGTTTTGCTTTTGTATATGAATCCAGTAGGAGCTTATTCATGAATCTTGAGCAGTCTTGTCAAATTTACATGCCCAAAGAAAAGTGTCAAACTATTACTGCATCTAGAAGAAGATTCTCTTTTTTTAAGTTGCTGACTGATACAATCCTGGTTGCATATTTTGTCTACTCTCCACATATGGGAATGCGAATTGCAAGGTTGGCCTTTTTCCCCATATTTTTGACAATTGTTTTACCAGCCTCTTTGGACCACATGAGACTGGATATTTGTGTTGCATTTCCTTAGAAAACTAATATAAGCAATGTCATGTGGTTGTCTGGTCCACAGATGCTCAGTAAGGGTGGATATGAAGATGTTAGTGATGCCATTACAATATATATATTCCTCTTGAAGTCAGTAGTTTTGTGATACGAGTTGGTCAATGATCCAATGAAGATTATTATGTCATAGTTGGTGTGATATGGATGCACTGTAGGAAACTAAAAATCTAACTTGGACCTTCATCAATTACAGATAAACTAATGTAGTTGCATTTCGGTGCATACAATCAGCACTGGCAGTGATGGTTGAAACATGCACTGGAATGAAATAGTAAGACCTAATTTTTGTTGATTGATGAGCTGGTGGATTGCTTTTGTAGGGTTTTTCATCCTCAAAATTTCACGTCTTTATAGCCTCTTTTGAAAAGACTGGATTCATTTATATTGTTGCTTCATATAACTGATCAGACGATTATCAAAGTTCCTCCTATCTAAATTAAACAATGGTTAAGATTTTGACTACCGATGTCAGACATATCAACCCATATTTTTGGATAAAATAAAATAAAATGCTTTTATCTAATAGGATTGTGTACATTGTCAGACATCTTTTATTTGTTTTTTTGAAGGTTGCTAGTAGTGGCATTTTGGTTGTTTCTTGTGCATTATGTTCTAGAACAAAAAGAGGAAAAATTGAGGGGGCCTAGAAGCCATGTTCATCCCTTTATTAGGTCCAACAACAATATATATTTATCTGGATTTTAGTTCAGTATAGGACTTTTTTTTAAGTGAAGCTATATTGCTTTAATTTGGTTCCAAGCATGACTAATATAAGGCAGTTCATTGAAAGAAAATCCACTTCTTGACCTAACTTCTAACATTTATCCTTGTAAATGTTAGGCAGTTCATTTTTTTTAAAGATGTATCAATGTCACACTATATGATGTGATTACAAATGTTGTGCATCCATCCAAGCAATCCAATTTTACTCGATTTAGTACATTATGGTATGGTCAATATTCACTCCACACGAATAGCACAATTCTGGGTGATTTATATGTGATACATTGCAGGGTTAACTGGATGGTAAGGTTTATGAGCCGGACTTGTTGCCTAGTTTTGGTCTGGTAATTGGCTTGAACTAAGAATAGTGGGTCTGGATCGAGGGCTAAGTCTGGCTTGATTTTTATATTTTCTTAAACCTAAAAATAAAAAAATAAAAAACCCTAACACTTAACCTCTCTTGTGTGTTCTATCAATTCCCCTACTCTCATGTTCATCGTTGCTTGCATTATTGGTTGCTTGCATCTAACGACATTAGCATCCGCCACCATTAGTCAGGAGAGATTAGTACACTCCTTATCTTGCTCTGTCACATGACATGGGAGTGTTTGTTTTACTATAATCAGTTCGTGTAAATCTTGCTGATCCTATTGTATTCACTACGGCTCATAATGCTTGTCCTATAGCCTTTAATCCAGACCTCTCAAATGTGATAGCCCATAAGCCAAACGAGTTTTAAGCTCATTTTCCAAACTTGTAGATGACCCAACTTGATTGAATAGCCTGAATTGATTGCTAAAGAGTTAAAGGGCATGACTTTATAGGTTGAAAAAACTCAATCTCTTAATTTTTCAGATGTTTTATTAATAGATGGTTTGGTGGGCAAATTCAAGGGGAGAGTTGATTCAACTTATCTTCATGACCGAGGAATGCATTAAAGGGCTTAGTTATCAGCTGCAAAACAATAAATTTTGTAATTCCCTATGCATAGAGGGTTGTTTCATGCACTAGTATTTATTTTGATGTTTTAGAGTTAGAAACAGTTTAGAATCTGATTGTATTTGACAGAAACTCTTTGATTTCTCTCTTTTAACTTTGTATCTCTTTGGTTTACCATAGAGAGATAGATTTAGTCTCTATATCTCTTGGATATTTCCTCGAGTGGTGAGTCTTTTTTTTAAGTTATGTATCATTATTTAATTATCCTTAGGGTGGTGAGTTTTTGTATCCCTTTGTGATTTTATACTTGGTGAATCCATTTATCTTCTTTCCAAAATATTTCTAGCAAATACAACTATCAGCTTTTCAAAGTCCATTCCTCAGTACCCCAGTATCGGTTTAGTATTAAAGCTAAAGGCTGGAGAGCATGACAATACGGAATGGAAAAGATATAGTTGGTGAAGGTAGTGGCCATGAAGATGATGTTGAGTTCTTGAGGTTGCAACTTCAAAGATTGCTATGCAATCTATAAAAAAATAATGAAATCCTTGAAGAACTTCATAAAAGAAACAACCAACATGAAAATGATGCCCAAGAGTTTGATTTTGACGATGATACACCTACTCACCCAAGGGAGTTGAGAAGATACCAAGCAAGGTGCAGAGACTAAGACGAGTGACAGAATAAATACAATCCAAAGTTGGATATTCCAGAGTTTGAAGGTAAAATCAGTGTTGATGACATTATTGATTGGCTTAATACAATGGAGAGAAAGTTCGAGTTTCATGAACCACTAGAAGAAAAGAAAGTAAAGCTTGTGGCACTCAAACTAAAAAAGAATACATCTTTTTGATGGGAAAACCTGAAGAAACAAAAAGAACATGAGGGAAAGAGTAAGATCATGACATGGGAGAAAATGAAAAGGGAGCTGAAGAGGAAATACTTGCCTGACAACTATAGGCAAGAGATCTTTCTCAAAATCTATGATTTCAAGTAAAAAGATCTTAGTGTAGAGGAGTATACAACAGAGTTCGATAATCTCATGTTAAAAGGAGAGCTTGTAAAACCAGAGGAGCAAATCATTGCAAGATACTTAGGATGTTTGAAATATGAGATTGCTAATGTGGTTCAACTCCAGCTATATTAGTCTTTGAATGATGTGAGCAAGTTGGTTTTAAAAGTTGAGAAGCAATAGAAGTTTGAAAAGAGTTCTCGGTATGGGTCAAAAGAAGGTTATATGAGAGGAGAAAATTCTAAGCCTACTCTTCAAAGAAAGGTGGTGTCAAAGGTGCAAGACACGGGTGAAGGATCTGCTGGCAGCAAACAAACACCTAATTCTTCTACACCAAGTGGTCGAAAATGCTTTAAATGTCATGACTTTGGGCATATTGCTTCAGATTGTCCAAATTGGAGAATTGTTACTGTGGTTGGAGATCAGAGTGATGGAGAAGGAGATGAAGCCAACGACAAATCAGAATATGATGATGATGAGGAAGAGGTTACTTTGTTGATCATGGTTTGTCTATTGTGTTACAACATAGCTTAAATGTGTCCTATGTGGTTGAGGATGAAAGTTGGGTGAGAAAGAATGTGTTTCACACCAAATGCAAATGCACTTCTCATGGCAAGATGTGCTTGCTGATCATTGATAGTGGCAGCTTTGAGAATATAGTGTCTTTGGAGATAGTGCAGAAGCTAAAGTTGGACACAATCACTCATCAACATTCTTACCAATTATGCTGGCTGCAAAAGGAGAATAACATCAAGGTAACTAAAAGATGTTTAGTTTTGTTTTCTATTGGCAAGCATTATAAAAATGAAGTATGATGTGATGTTGCTCTTATGGATGCTTGTCATTTACTAATTGGGTAGACCTTGACATTATGATAGGAGGGTGTTGTATGATGATTACAAACATACTTATTCTTTTAAAGTGAATGAAAAGAATATTGTTTTAGCTCCATTACAACCTTCTGAA